GTTTCACCATGTTGACCAGGATGGTCTCGATCTCTTGACCTTGTGATCCACCCGCCTCGGCCTCCCAAAGTGCTGGGATTACAGGCTTGAGCCACCGCGCCCGGCCTCAATGTGTTTCAATTGAGTACAGTTATTAGTCTTTTTTGGGCTGGTTCCTGTGTCCTTTTGATATGTCCCTATTTGTCTTTGAGCATTTCTTTGTTTTATGGAAAAACCCATGGTCCCAGGCTTACCTTATAAATTGCCTGCCCCAGGCCTGGAATTAGCCATTTCTCCAAGGAACCCTAGTGGGGAATAGTGTTCAGAAACCAAGATCTGGGGACTGGTGGTGATCATTGATAGTGAGATTTTTGGCCATCATTGCTTCTGGATCAGTCGCTCTGTCTGTCTGTCTGTCTGTCTGTCTGCCTACCCACCCACCCACCCACCTAGCATTCTATCATCTGTCTCTATCTGGAGAGCTTAAACTGATATTTCCAATTCAAATTCCGTATTGTGGATCTTTTACTTAGCTCATCTGATTTTATGCTTGCAGCTCTCTCTTACATTTGTTTATAAGGAAAAAATCTTGATTCAGAAAATATTAACATCTTTACTTATTTGCTTTATCCAACAAGATACATAAAATGGTTTCAAAATCACAGTGCTGATAGTTCTTCCGACTTAAATCTACTAACTAAAGTCTTTTGTTGTGTGTGTGTGTGTGTGTGTGTGTGTGTGTGTGTGTGTGTGGTTTTTTCCTGCAGTTCTTTTTGTCCTTCTACTGAGAAAGGGTAGTCGAGCCAGTGGGTTCAGAATTCACTTTGAGTCGTTCTTTTCTCTGTGGTTATGGTACCAACTTTATGGTTGAGCTCATTTTGTTTCAGTTTTAGGGCTTGCACAGGATGGATTCTCTCTGAGATAACTTGGCTTGGAGAGAGAAGGTCCAGACTTGAGGGCCCCCTTCCTCCCTGTCTTTCCTGGTTTCCTTGCTGGTACCTAGGTGACTTGGCTATTGCAAAGCAGGAGGCATGAGCTGGGTAGAGGAGGGGCATGGAGTGAGGTGCCTGAGAGCCAGTCTGGTGGCTTGAGGCCAGTCTGATGGCTCTGCCTGGGAGACACATGTCCTGCTGAACTCACACAGCTAGCAGATGCCTCCTGAGTACCCATCCTGTGCCTGGCAACAAGCTCAGGGCTGAGACACACATGGGCACAGCCAATGGTCTCTGCCTCCACAGAGCTCCCAGGCCAGTAGGGATGAGAAGCCCAAATGCAGTAAGTGTGAATGAATGGAGTGCAGATTTCTGCAAAATAGTATGTACCAGAGAACAGAACCTTTTCAGGATTAGAGAAGCCTCTTCAAGCAGAGAGGTGAAGAATAGCCAGAAGACGGTCGATGAGGGGGTAGGACGTTCCTGCAAAGAGCACAGCACATGTGGGTGGGGGCCGCCTGTGGGAGGGGTGGGGTCCAGCATAGCAAGCAGTGGGAGGCAGTGGCACAGTGACCTTGGGTCAGCTGAGGTGCCCAGGACCGTAGAACGTAGGGGCTTGAAGGCCTTGGTCAGGATTTGGAGAAACTAAATAAGTTTGTGTTCAGTTTGTGGTAGAGGAAGTATCTTTGAGGGAGTTTGGGGACCTCCTAAAATCATACCCTAAATGTGTACCTAACGGGTAGGATGGTGTCCCAGGCAGAGGGTCCTTACCTTTTATTTGATTCTCAGTGGGACTTGTCCAAAAGATGTAAGATTTTAGCATGAATAAGCAATTACAGAATCCAAGGATTTAGGATTTCTCAGCAACGTGAAAATCCATCCAGCAATTCCTCGCCTCTGTGGATTGCGAAGAGACCTGAAGTCTCTGCAGCCCGGCCTCTTGGTCCTGCCTGGGGAACGTGGCATGCTGGTGGGAGCACAGATGGAGGCCCCTGGGATGGTCAGTCATGAACTACGTGGGCCTGGGGGAGTTTTCAGGTCTCCAGGGTTTATTGTGTGTACGAGGCACCAAGAGGGCTTCCTGGAGGAAGTGTGGGTGCTGTGGAAGTAGGCCGGGTGGAGAAGTGGAGAAGAGTCTTCCCAGCAGAGGCCCATGGCCTTGCTCCTTCCCTCTGAGCTGAGTCCTCTGAGTGCTTCCATTCAGGCTTTATAGCTCAGAGCCCATAGAAGCCAAGAGGGTCACAATGTGTGAATCGGGCCTGGTGTTGGACATGGGGCATGGGGTGGCCTTGGGCAGCCTGAAAAGTCTGTAAATTTAGGGCAGCCTAAAATCCATGGGAGGGGGAAGACATTGTGGGCACCTGCTGGCATCAGCTTCTCATACTTACCTCCAGGTACTGAAGTGGGTGGAGTCAGCCATCCAGGCCTCCAAGGTACACCTGCTGTCCACGGACCACGAGGAGGAGGGGGATCACACATGGAGACTCCCCTTTGACCCCAGCCTGAAGGAAGTCACCATCTCGTTGAGCGGGCCGGGGCCTGAGATTGAAGTCCAGGATCCACTGGGTATGGACCACCTCGGGGTTGGCCTTCTCTTTGGCCCCAGGACTGAGCTGGAAGCCCAGGATGGGAGAAAGAAACAGACCAAGGGTGGCAGGGCTTCAGACATGAGGCTTCAGGAATAAGGAAATGTGGGGGGGGAGGGCACAAAGTGGAGAGAGGGTGCCCGTGGTTCGCGAGGAAGCAGGAGTAATTAAAGTAATGGTGGCTCCTGGATCGTGAGGCTCTCCCAGAGCCTTTTCCATGGTACCCAGTGGATTCTCATGGTGGTAGGAACTTGTAACACATCATACAGATGGGAAGCTGGGGCTCCCGGAGCTGAGTACTCATCAGGGTTAACAGAGGCAGGGGCAGTGTGATTCGGATGAGGTCACCTGGCCGCATGGCGCTCTGAAGATGTCATGAGTGCCCAGATCTAGATGTCAGGTGCACAGCCCGCCCCGGGAATCCCTGAGGGTGGGGCGTGGAGCAAGGCAGTGGCTGAGGACTGCCAAGACCTTTGTCAGTTCCGAGAAGACTGAGGCTAGTGTTTGGGGCACTGTGGATTCCTGGAGACAGGCGGGGCTCCTGCCACCCTCAGGAAAGGGACTGAGCTAGCCCTTGGGGCTTCCACAGGGAGGATCCTGAAGGAGGACGAGGGCCTCAACGTGCTTCTCAACATCCCTGACTCAGCCAAGGTCGTAGCCTTTAAGCCTGAGCATCCTGGGCTGTGGTCCATCAAGGTAAGGCACTGAGTTGCAGGAGAAGGTGGACCAGCTTCACTGGACTGGAACCATCTTCCTTCTGCTTGCCCTGGGGAGCCTGGGGCCTCAGGAAGCGGATGGCTAGAGTGTGGGTGGTGATGTGGTCATATCAATAGAAGTACAGGGTCAAGGACCGAGGAAGGGCATTCTGCCTTGTACCAGTGAGAAGAGGTAGAGTGGTTTGGGGTTAGTTTGGGAACATCTAAGAAGGACTTGGAGAAATGACTTCAGGCTTCAGAGGTGCCTGACCAAGCTGTGAAGAATGTGTAAAGAAGCAAGAAGAGCTTTGGTGGGAGGCCTCAGTGGGGCAGGGCTGGCAGGAAGAGAGGGGTCTGCTGTAATCTACGAGGGGCTGGGAGCCAGGAACTGCAGGCCAGCTTGGCTCCCAACAAAGCATCCTGGGGCGAGCAGACTGCTGCCCTGGAAGAGTGGGGGCTCCCGGTGACCAGATGAACATTAGTGAGCACCTTCTGCAGGCAACGTGCTAGGCGCTGCAGGTAAAGTGGCAATGTCCCCACCTGCCTTTGAAACTCTCAGCACCTTAGAGCCAAGAGCTGTAATGCCAGTGGGGAGAGCAAGGCAGGGAGTTAGACGTGCAGGGGGACAGACAGGGCCTGCAGGGGCTGAGGCGAGCCCAAGGGCAGCACAGCCTCAAGAGTGCCGCTCAGGCTGGGGTTGTAAGCTGGGGCTTCAGCTCCTTCATTTGGGGAGCATGGTGCTGGGCCCCCTGGAGCAGGTAAGTTGCCCCTGTGTCTACAAAAGCAGGAGGATTTCAGCTGCTGATGCAGGGCTGGGTCAAGTTGGGCGCCTCCTGCCCTAAGCTGGAGTGCTGGGGTTCCAGCCTCTGGTGACGTGAGACCTGGGCCTGTGCTAGGTCTATAGCAGTGGCCGCCATTCGGTGAGGATCACAGGTGTCAGCAACATTGACTTCCGAGCCGGCTTCTCCACTCAGCCCTCCCTGGACCTCAACCACACCCTCGAGTGGCCCTTGCAAGGTACAACACCCCGACCCTACAGACAGTGCTGAGCTGCCTCTGAAGACCTGGGGCTTGGCTTTGGGAGGTGGTGGAGGAGGTATGGGGGGAATGCTTGGCTGCGTGTGACTTTGGAAGGGACCCTGTGGAGGCTAAGTGGGGCCGTGCTCCAAGACCACAGCGATGTAGACCCAGCTTCCAGGCCAGCTTTCCACCAGCCCCAGCCCAGGCGACATTGTGACATTTACCTTTAGATCATCGTTCCTGCCTCCCATCGTTCCTCCAGGACACTGACGCTGTGGCCTTTGTTACCAAGTTCACACCTCCTTTCTTTTTGTTAAAATCTATCTGCCTAGAGTCCTGCTTTTTCACTTTTCCAGCAAACAGTAGGCTAGTTCAATGAAAGAACAGGTGCCAGTGAGCTGACAGCGACCAAAAAGGAGAGCAGGGCCTTACTGCAAAGGAAGGAATGTCCTGGGGTGCCCCGAGACTGAGGAAGGTTGAAGGAGCCTGGGAGGACGTTGAAGGTGGAGGCACAGGCTTCCAACTGGAAGCCACCCACCAGGATCTGAGGATGCGTGCGTGCCTGCTACAGTTCCACCTTAGAAGCCTGACCCCGAGGCAGGCTTCTGGTGCAGGATGCCTGAGCTCCATGCTGGAAAATACCATCTGGTGGCCAGATCAAAGGTCTTAACTTATAGTTTGGAAAATATGGTCCCTGCCATGGAGCCATTTGGAGACTTTTGCAAGGACCAGCTCAGCTCAGCTCCTCCTGGGAGGAGCCTGGATCAGGTCAGGCTGACTCTGGACCCTGAATAGTGACCAAAAATGGTGTAAGCCAGACCTCGAGGGCTTTCTTTCAAGTCTGTCTTCCCTAATGTTTGTTATTCTTGTCAGCCCTTGCCAGTTTTCCTGCCAGAACCAGGAGTCATATCTCGAAAGTGAAAAGGGGCTGCTTGCTCAGTTTGTTTGTTTTGCCGATAGCAGAAAGGGAAGAAGCAGGAAAACTTTGATTCTACTGTTAAACCAGGAGAGCAAAGAAATCCTACATGTAGTGATGGTGTGGGAATTGAAAACTGGCCTGTCCCCAGTGGAAGTGGGTACAGGAGGTCTCATGTGACCCTGTTGAGTTTCTGCTTTTGATAAAGATGTATATCCAAGATAATTTTGTTTTTGAGATGGAGTCTTGCTCTGTCACCCAAGCTGGAGTGCAGTGGTGCAATCTCTGTTCACTGCAACCTCCACCTCTTGGATTCAAGCTATTCTCTGCCTCAGCCCTCCGAGCAGCTGGGATTATAGGTGTGTACCACCACACTTGGCTAATTTTTGTATTTTTAGTAGAGACAGGGTTTCAACATGTTGGCCAGGCTAGTCTTGAACTCCTGAACTCAGGTGATCTGCCTGCCTGAGCCTCCCAAAGTTCTGGGGTTAGTCCTGAGCCACTGCACCAGGCCAGGATAATTTTTTTAAAGATAAACATTTGGGAGGCCAAGGTGGGAGGATTGCTTGAGGCCAGAAGTTCAAGTCCAGCCCGGACAACACAGCAAGACCACATCTCTACAAAATTTAAAAAATTAGCCAGGCATAGTGGTGCATACCTGTTAGTCCCAGCTGTTCGGGAGGCTGAGGGAGGAGTATTGCCTGAGCCCAAGAGTTTGAGACTGCAGTGAGCTGTGATCGAATCTAGCCTAGATGACAGAAATTTTAAAAAGAAATTATGAAATCTGACTCCAGTTCTGCCTCTTCTGGGATAGTGTGAAAAGTACCACATTTCCATCAAGACAGAAAAGAAAACCAAACAGAACCTGAGCATGGGGAGAGTCTGGTCAGAAGTTGGAGTCCCCAAACTTGGTGTTTGCTTTATCTGAGGCTATTCCCTGAAGCCTGTCTGATTATGGCCCACACCAGAGTTAATGGGGTGGGGGACAGTTCTACTCCATGGGACTCCAAGTCAGTGCAGACAGAGGGGATGCAGCCATTGGGAAGCCATGTTTGGACGATTGTGATGTTTCAGCACCACGGACAGAAGCAAGGGTCCTTCTCTACCTATCCTACCCCCAGTGTCGGGTCAGCACAGGGATAGGTAGGGAAGGAGGGACCAGGTAGGGAGGGCCAGGCAAGCAGGACCCCTGGGGTGTGATTCAAGGGCTCCTACTTGAGGGGGATCACAGAGCCAGACACTTACACCAGCACCTTGTTCTACCCTCTCTCTGCAGGGGTCCCCATCTCCCTGGTGATCAATTCCACGGGCCTGCAGGCACCTGGCCGCTTAGACTCAGTGGAGCTGGCACACAGCTCAGGGAAGTCCCTCCTGACACTGCCTACGAAGCCCCTCTCCAATGGCTCCACCTACGAGCTGTGGGGTGGGCCGCCCTTCCACACCCCCAAGGAGCGGTTCTACCTCAAGGTGAAGGGCAAGGACCATGAGGGAAACCCCGTCCTTCGTGTCTCTGGAGTGTCCTACAGTGGGGTGGCCCCAGGTGAGTGGTTGGCTCTTTTGTCCTCCAGTTCCCTGGCTCACTCAGAGTCCCATTTCTTCCTAGAGCCTTCCCTGACTGTATTAGATTAAATTAGATTAGAAAGTGTCTGTTCATTAAGCTTCTATGGACAGCTGTTCCCTATAAGGCATTATGTTAAATACTAAGATGCTTCAGATGTGGCTCTCAGCGCAAGGATTAGAACAAAGTCATCCACTCATCCATCTACTCACTATCCATCCATCCATCTACCCATTCATCCATCCACCCACCCATTCACCCACCCACCCCCCACCCTTCACTCACCCATCCACTCACCCATTCATGCATCCACCCATCCACCCATCTATCCATTCACCCATTCACTCGCCCATCCATCCACCCACCCATTCACTATTAATTTACTTATCTATCCATGTATTTATCCATCTATCTGCCTATCCATCCACCCACCTGTCCACCCATCCATTCATCCATCTATTCAGCATTCATTTTGAATGTCTCCTATGTATGAGTCATGGTGCTAGGCACTGTGATACAGCAGTGGGCAGGGCAAACATGGCATTTGCTCTCTCATGATCACAATCACTGTCATAATTGCGATCATCCTAGTCACCATTTGGATACTTTCCATGAGCCCGTCCTGGGCCAAGCTCCTGCCACGTGCTAGCTCACCGATGCTTACAGCTTTTCTGAGGTGTGCCCTACTTCATAGATAAGGAAACTGAACCTGCCTGCCTCACAGGGCTGCCCCGGTGGTATCCAAGCTAATGCACACAACAAGACAGCATTTGGGTCTTCAGAGGCCGCATGCAGGATGCATCCATTTGTGGGCAAGGGCCCTCCGGTGTGGCAGCTGCTGTTACCATTGCATCATTGCAAGAACACATCATTTTGTTGTCCAGTCTTTGGCCATGTTGTGTTGGTTCCCATATGTGTGGCTTTTTGCTGGTTTCCTGTGTGTCCCTGAGGTCTCACTGTTCAGACTGGAAGCTACCAGGGGGCAGGGTGGATCTTTGGCCTTCCAGGTCTGCCTCTGATCCTAGCAGGGATGTCTAGGGCACTGGCTCTCTGGCCTCCTCGCTGGCTTCATTGCCTTTCTCTGGCCCACTGTCTCCCTCCCCTGGAGGTGACCTGAGAGGAGCTTACAAAGGTAGATGTCATTGACATTCTAGCACTTCTTTGTGGGGGATCTCAGTGAGAAGCATCCTCCTCTGTCCTCTTCAAATAGGGATGGAGGGTGTGCGGGGAAGAAGGGCCAGCTCTTGAGGCTGGCCACTGTGCCCGTTGTGCCCATGGTGCCTGTGGTGCCCCTGGGTGGGGCAGGGCAGGGCTGGGCAGGAGAGCTGGAGACCTCTTCTTTCCAGCCTCCCAGCTTCCACTCCCCTGCTGTGGTTCCTGGGCCTCTCTTCCCTTGGCCTTTGTAGCCTCGAGGAGGAACTTTCAGGAAGGAATTTTAGCAGGGGGAATAACAGCCTCTGTTTTCTGTCCCCTGTTCTTTCAGATGAATCCAAGAGTTTGCAGTTTAGCTCTGAATTTTGTTCTCACTCAGCTCTAGATTGAAGTGGGGGGAGGGATGCAGTTTGGATTTTTGCTTCCTTCCCGCCCTCCAGGTCCAGGAGGCTGGGATTTCGCCTTGCAGCAGGTGGCTCTGGGTTTGGAGAGATGAAGGTGGACCTGCGGTCCCTTTCAGTTCATGGAAGCGGGGAGCCCAAGCTGGCTTGGCAAAGGCTCCCAGGGTGCGTGGGTGAGCGGCGGCTGCTTTGCACACAGCCGAGGACGTGGCTGGATGGTTGGACACCCCTCCCCCTCGGGACAGTCGTGGCAGGGAGCCTGCAGCATGATGTCACCACCGCCTGCTCATCCCCAGCCCGGGCCCCGAGGAGGTCTACTGCATTGTCTCACCCCCGGAGCATCTCTGCCGGCCTCCTCTGCTGGTGGGGATTGGGAGATGGTGACACAAAGGTTGAGCCCCTGCCAGGGGGCATCCAGCTCTGATGGGCCACGGCTGACCCTGTGGGGCAGTTTCTCAGACTTCTCTATTGAAGTAATTCCAATAGCCAAGGGAAGAGACTGTGTCGCTCCAAGACCAGGGTCAGGCCCGGGGGGGCAGGGGTGTCTGATAGCCGTCCCATGGGGTTCATTACAAGCTATGAGATTTCATTGAAGTCTCTGGTTTTATCTCAAAAATGCGTGTGAATTTTGCATTTATAGCCATCCTCCAGCTGTGCTTATTTTTAAATGAGAAGGTTTCCTTCCAACAAATTTGGGTAAAACCGATATTCTAGGCAGAGGAGTAATTGCACAAACCCACCCCTACCCCTGGGGAGCCTAATCCTGGTTGGCAGCATTTCATCAGATTTTAGAACTGGTGCTAATACAATCAGGTGGTGCAGCGGAAGGGTCTGGTGCAGGCTGGCCAGCCTTGAGTTGAACAGTCTCATAACCCACAAAAGCCCCAGGAGCTGTGCCAAGGGGTGCTAGTGGAGCTGGTGGAGCCACATATATTGTGCCATGAGGTCTCCATGCACCTCTTCTCACCAGCTCCTCAGGACAACACAATCTGGATGGTACCATGATCACTCCCATTTTGCAGAGGTAAAAACTGAGGCTTAGAGGGGTGACCACCAAATGGTGGAACCAGGGGTTGAATCCTGGCCTCCTGGATGCTGGTGCGTCCCTGCAGGTCTCTGTGTCACCGGGTGTGGCTAGGGGGTGGTGGGTCGACATTCTGAGTCCTGGTCCTCGCCCCCAGGTGCTCCCCTGGTCAGCATGGCGCCCAGGATCCATGGCTACCTGCAGCAGCCGCTGCTCGTCTCCTGTTCCGTGTACAGCACCCTTCCCTTCCGGCTGCAGCTGCGGCGAGGTGAAGCCAGGCTGGGCGAAGAGAGGCACTTGCAGTGAGTGGCCCATGGCAGCTGATTGTCCCCAGTCACAGGACTCCTGGCTGCTGAGGCCCTGGAGGGAACTCAGGGGAGTGGGTGGCAGGAGAGGGATCCTGGTCTCTGTCATTGTCCTCCTGGGCAGCCCAGCCTGGGACTTCCAGTGCAGCCAGGAATGGAGAAGAATTTGTCCCCAAGACTCCCATCGCTGCTGGACCATCAGCTTGTGAAGGAGCGGAGGGCCTTCCTCAGCTCCTGGAAAACTCAACCCATGCGGGGCCCAGCTGTGGGCGTCGGGAGGAAGGTTGGGAGCCCAGGACTCAGAGAAAGGAAGGGCCTGGCTGCAAGCCACACAGCATGTTGTGGAATTTCCACGTCCCTGGCTGTGTACCTCTACTTATTACATCTCACAGAGGAATTGGGGTCTCTCCTTTGGGCAGGATTCAGGGGACTAGGTCCCTGAGGGGCAAATGAGGCCAGGGGCACCCTGACCGGAGTCAGTGTGATTGTCCATCTCCTTCTGCTCCCTGTTTGCAGGGAGTCAGGAAACAGCAGCTGGGAGATCCCGAGGGCCTCCAAGGCTGAGGAGGGGACCTATGAGTGCACAGCCGTCAGCAGGGCTGGGACCGGGCGAGCAAAGGCCCAGATTGTCATCACAGGTCTGTCCCTTGGGGCCCCTCCATGTACCCCTTCCTTACCCTCTTCCCGCGTTCTTCCCTCTAGGATTTCCTCCCAGCGAGTCTCCAGCCAGCTGCTGGGACTGTCCGTCATTCCGGGTCTCGCTGCCCAGGCTGCCACCTGCCTGCTGCCCCTCATTTGGGGCTGTCTCACCCCAGAACGGCTTGTGGGTCTCAGCTGGAGGAAGGCTGAGGACCTGACTGGGGTCTGCCTGCCCTGCCCAACTTCAATCCCAACTCTGACTTCTTAGGGCTCATCTTTCAGGGGCCACCATCCATCTCGTGGTCAGGACCCCTTCCTGCCTCCAAGTCCTGGCCAGGATGGAGCCATCAAGCTGGGGAGGTTGGAAACACCACAGACTGTCTCCAAATGAAATTGGCTTTATTTTTAAAATTATGAATGCAGGCTGCTTAGTAGAGAAGAAAACCCGTAAGCATGGAAATATCAGCCATTCTACACTGACAGCTAGAAATTACACGTGCTCCCAGTAGGAAGGCTGGAAAAATATAAACAACCAAAAAGATCAAAGTAACTTGTAGCCCTTCCATTTTGCCATTGGATTTACTTCCTTTCAGGTCTTTTTCTTTGCTCAGCAGTCTCTGATCTCGCCACTTCTTGTGGCTTTTTGCTATCCAGATAGCGGTTTGCTTAGCGCCTTCCTCCCTCGGGGCATATTTGGCTGCTGTAAATAGCCCTGCCGTTGGTACAGAGAGTCGTTGTGAACACATGACTCTTCCCCTGGCTGGAGACTTCGAGGCTGTATTCCCCAGCGTGGTGTCTTCAGCTGGGGGCCATGAGAGACGTGCCGGGCTTGCTGCACGTCCGTCACACTGGCTGTTGTTTGGAGAGCAGGCGCGGGCCATGCAGCCTCCCGGGGAGTGTATAATGGTGGTAGGAGAATGACCTCCCACTGGGGTGATGCCTGCTGATCACCCATGCCGCTGGCTGACGTGTCCTGCACGATCTGGTTCGGGTGGACCTGCACCTCAGGGTGAGGCACCAGGGCCTGCGCGATGATCCCTCCCTTGCCTCAGCCTCTCGGTTCCTCCTGTGCTCCTGTCCCTGCAGACCCCCCACCGCAGCTGGTCCCTGCTTCCAATGTGACCGTGTCCCCGGGGGAGACTGCCATCCTATCCTGCCGGGTCCTTGGCGAGGCCCCCTACAACCTGACGTGGGTCCGGGACTGGCGAGTCCTCCCAGCCTCCACAGGCCGAGTCACCCAGCTGGCTGACCTGTCCCTGGAGGTCAGCAGCGTCATCCCCACAGACGGTGGGAGGTACCAGTGTGTGGCCAGTAATGCCAACGGGGTCACAAGGGCATCTGTCTGGCTCCTGGTGCGAGGTGAGGCTTGTTCTGCTGCTCCCCCACTTTAGCACTCAACCTAGTGTTCACCCCAGAAGCCGTGAGTCCCTCCCTCTCCCCAGACCTTTTCTCTGGCAGGCAATTGCAACCCTTTCAGTGTTTTTTAAACTTGCAGGGAGAGAAAATTCTGTAGCCTCCTAGCTAGTCTAATGGCTCTCACTGCTGGGAAGTTCCTCCTAATATCTAACTTAAGTTTTACTGCTGTAGGCCAAACCAGTTTCACTGTGTCATGTCCTTTTTCCATGTCATCGAGCCCTTCCATTGTTCCCCACTCCGCACTGCACCCTGCCCAATATGTGGGACAGGAACTGAATACTGGAATCTTGTGGGAGCTCAGAGGTCAGATGTGTTTGGCAGCACTGACTGGATGGGGGTGGAGGAGGCCATGCCCAGAGCACCCATCTGGGAGTTTTCAGATCTGGGTGAGTCCTCAGGTCTACCCAGAATCTAGACGGAGCCTTCTCCCCAAATGTAAAAATGAGCACATTGAACAAGTGTTCTCTCTTGAGCCAGCGGCTCTTCAGTGACTGCTGGAGTGTGTTGGGCAGGATTCTGAGGCTGTGTCTGGGCTCTGCAGGAAGGAGGGGATCCACTAACGTGGGTGCCACCCGTGTGGGAGGGCCGTGTTTACTGTTTCTAGATGCTCCGGCCCTGGGAGCTCTGTTTGAGTCTGACCAGCCTGCTTTCTGAGTTTCCAAGAGGCCAGGTTAGAACCTAAGATTGGGGCCAATAGCAGGGCAGGCCTTGGGTCAGCCTCAAAGTTCCTGGAGACAAGAGCCGTCCCCAGCCCTGGCAGCTGCCTGACATCTCCCTAAAGCACCCCGGCTCCAGGAGCACAGGGCTCCAGGCTGGGACTGTTGGAAAATCAGCCTCCATGTGGCCTGGGGATGCGCCTCGTGGCCACCTGGGCTACCCAGGTCCCAGAGAAGCCACCCCTGGGGGATTGAAGCCATTTGGGGTCTTTGCTTCCTCTGTCTTGCATCTGTGGCTATGGGAGGGGAGGGCCCAGGGCTGGGTGCCTGGGATAGAACGGCTGCTCTGATGTACTCATCCTCACCTATTCACTTTTTGGGTCACAGAGGCCCCGCAGGTCAGCATCCGCACCAGCTCCCAGCACTTCTCCCAAGGTGTGGAGGTGAAGATCAGCTGCTCAGCCTCTGGGTACCCCATACCCCACATCTCCTGGAGCCGTGAGGGCCAAGCCCTACAAGAGGACAGCAGGTGAGGGGCCCAGAACACGAATCTCGGGGACTCGCAGCAGGTGGACAGGACTCCCAGGGGCCTCTCTGGGCCTTGGCCTTCCCAACTGTAAATGGGGGAGTAGCATCTGCCTTCCTCCCTCCTGAGATCATTCCAGACTCAGCAGTGAGATCACTTTGGGAACATAGCGATGAGGCCGCCGTGTGGGTTCAGCAGTCACAGGCTCAGGCTGTGCGGACCTGCTCCCAAATCCCACCCCCGCCCCCAAATCCCACCCCTACCATTCAGGCTATGTGACGTTGGGCAAGTCCTGGCCCCACCATTCAGGCTGTGTGACCTTGAGCAAGTCGTCTTACCTCCCTGAGCCTCATGAATTACATGTACATAAAGTGCTTAGCAGAGGCTCAGAGCAAGCTGTCAGCACAGAAAGGTCATTGCTAGTCGCATTGTTCATTAACTTGTTATCAATGACAACTGTGGAGCAACCCCTTGTGTGATCCAATGTGTTTTTACGGCACAACTCCAGAATCCATGTGGACGCACAGGGAACCCTGATTATTCAGGGGGTAGCCGCAGAGGATGCTGGGAATTACAGCTGCCAGGCCACTAATGAGGTTGGCACGGACCAGGAGACGGTCACCCTCTACCACACAGGTACCCAGGCCATGAGCATCGCATCACAGGAGAGGGGCTTCCTTCCCCGCCCCCCTCCTTCCCTTCTCCCTCCCCTGCTCCCGTCCATCAGTATTTATGGAGCATTTATCTGTGTCCTGCACTGGAGCACAGCAGTGAACACACGGTGCCTGTTGGGTGGAGCTTGTATTCTAAGGAGGAGGCACACATAGGCCAATGGGATGTTTCCCGATGCTGAAGATGCTGCGAAGAGCAGGGAGCTGGCTGGTGTGAGGGAGGGACCTGTGCTGGAGGTGAGAGGGAAGTGGCCGCTGTGTCCAGGACTTGGCCACAGCCTCTCTGAGCAACCCTTACCTAGGGTCACGATGGGAACAGCGTCGCAGGTGGAGGGACTGGGACGGGGTATTGAGCCTGGGGTGCTCCAGGGGTGGCAAGGAGGCTGGTGTGGCAAGAGTAGGGCATGGTTGGGATGGGGGAGAGGGCTTCCTGAGGCTGTGCTTTATGACCTTTGACGGTTGGTCCCAAATTCCGCATCTCTTCCCCATGCAGACCCACCGTCAGTCTCTGCTGTACACGCCGTGGTGCTGGCTGCTGCTGGGGAGGAGGCTGTGCTGGTGTGTGAGGCATCCGGGGTTCCCCCACCCCGAGTCATCTGGTATCGAGGTGTGTTGGTGGGGAGGGGCCCTGGAACTGTCCCACTGGGGCCCTGAAGGAGCAGCTTTCCAGAAAGAAGGGAGGAGGAGGGAGGGGCTGTTCTGAATGAGGAGTCTGGGAGAGCCGGTGTTCTGGCGCCCCCCACCCTCGCCCCCAGCCTGTGCTGGAGCTGGTGGGTCCCAGCCCCCTGACCCTTACCCCCAGTCTGTGATGACACAGCTGATGTAGATGTTCAGAGCAGCGCTGAGCCAGACCCAGATTTGAATTCCGGCTCCCCTGGGTGATTTTGGGCAAGTGACCTGGCATCTCTGAGCCTCAGTTTCCTCATCAGAAAAATCAAAGATAGTTTGGTTGCATAGGATTAAATGAATCCATATGAGCAGAGGTTTTATTTTTTATTTTTTGGTTTTATTTATTTCTTTGAGACAGAGTCTCACTTTGTCACCCAGGCTAGAATGCAGTGGTGCAATCTCAGCTCACTGCAGCCTCCACCTCCTGGGTTCAAGAGATTCTCGTGCCTCAGCCTCCTGAGTAGCTGGAATTACAGGCGTGTGCTACCAGTCCTGGCTAATTTTTGTATTTTTAGTAGAGACAGGGTTTCACCATATTGGACAGGCTGGTCTTCAACTCCTGATCTCAAGTGATCCTCCCACCTCAGCCTCCCAAAGTGCTGGGATGACAGGCGTGAGCCATTGCGCCTGGCCACGTGTGCAAAGGTTTTAGAACAAGTGTGGCACATGGGCTGCGCTTGGCATTCTTAGTGATAGTGCTGAGGACGATGTGATTATTTGAAAATGACGGTAATGATGACAGGGTTGTCCTGAGACCCCGAGGTCATGGGCAGAGTGTTTTCATAGTCCCTGCTGCCAGGCCGGGGTCTGGGGTCTCACTAGGTCTTTCTGGGAACTGTATGCTGGGCTTCCTCTCAAGGATCAAGCAGGGTCAGCAGTACTGGCCCCTCCCACCTGATCTTGCTCCATGTCCTGCAGCACCTGCCTGGGACCTCGTCAGAGCCTCACTCTGACTCTGAGATAGGCGGGGCGGGTGGTGGTAGCTTGGAGTTGAGCATTTTGTTTAGGGTCACGAGCAGGTGGGTGGCAGAGGCTTCTGGACTCCTTCCTCAGTGTGTATTCTGGCCGAGAGCCCTATCCACCCAGCCCTAGAGCCCCTCTTGGAAAGGAAGCCTTACCATGAAATACTCTTCCATCTTCAGAAGGAACGAGATTCTCACACATGCTACATGGATGTCCTGCTAGGTGGATGCTATTCTAGGTGAAATCAGCCAGACACAAAAAGACAAATATTCTCTGACTCCACTTACGTGAGCTCCCTAGAGACGTCAAATTCATAGAGGCAAAAAATGGAATGGTGTTTGCCAGGAACTGGGGAAAGGAGAACATGGGGAGTTAATATTTAATAGATGAGGAGTTTCAGTTTGGGGAGATGCAAATCGTTCTGTGGAGGCCAGTGATGGGCACGCAATGGTGTGGATGTACTGACGCCACTCAGCTGACTGCACACGTAGAAACGGTTCAGATTGTCAATTTTGTATTATGTATATTTTACTACAATAAATAAAATAAAAATTACATTTAAAAGGGCAGTCAGAATCAGGGGTGGAGGGAAGTCAGGCAAGAAAAATGAGGAAGGGGCCAGGCACGGTGACTCACGCCTGTAATCCCAGCACTTTGGGAGGCCGAGGGGGCGGATCACTTGAGGTCAGGAGTTTCTCTACCCTGTCTCTACTAAAATTGCAAAAAATTAGCCGAGTGTGGTGGCATGTGCCTATAATCCCAGCTACTCGGGAGGCTGAGGCAGGAGAATCACTTGAACCCAGGAGGCAGAAGTTGCAGTGACCTGAGATCACGCCACTGCCCTCCAGCCTGGGTGACAGAGTGAGACTGTCTCAAAACAAGAACAAAAACAAAAAGACAGAAGAAAAATGAGGAAGGGCTCAGGGCTCCCCAGATCCCTCCTAGAGCAGATCCAGACCCCTGGACCCGGGCGGTGGGGTGGGTACCAGCTGGGGGGTCCAGGCTGGAGTTCTTGGGTCATGAGCCTGACATGTAGGGCCTGGCTTACCCCAAATCCCCTTCAACAGAGGGGCTTAGGGAAGATCCAAGCCCCCTGCAGGACTGGACCCAGGGGTCCTGACTTCGGAGCTGAAACCTGCCTCTACCCACTGTCCCCAGGCCCCAACCTTGTGGAGTTGCAGGAGCTCAGGTTCAGGCTTGAGCAGCCTCCCACCCTGGCCTCCATGGTACCAGGGACACCTTTCTCCTCTTTGGTCCAGGGGGTCTTGAAATGATCCTGGCCCCTGAGGGCTCCAGCTCTGGGAAGCTGCGGATCCCGGCGGCTCAGGAGAGGGATGCTGGCGTCTACACCTGCCGGGCTGTCAATGAGTTGGGTGACGCCTCTGCCGAAATCCAGCTGGTGGTTGGACGTGAGTGTACACCTCGTCTCCCCTCCCCTTCCCATCCTCCTTTCCCAGCACTCTGCCCTGCTTGTCAGCAGGGAGGGGAAACTCTCCCACACGAGTTGCCAGTGTGGATTGCATCATGCGGATCTGAGCATGTGGAGACAAGAGAAGTCCAGGGGATGTGGTGCTTGTGTTAGCTCTTGCTGGGTAACAAATAGCCCCCAAATTTTGTGGCTTAAACGGTAAGTATTTATTATATCACAGTCTGAGGATCAAGAATCTGAAAGTGGCCTGGCTGAGTAATTCTGGCTCAGGGTCCATCCTGAGATTAAAATCAGTACGTTGGCTGGGGCTGCAGTCATCTTAACATTTGCCTGGGCCTAGGGGATGCACTCCAGGCTTACACATGGGGCTGTTAGCAGAAGGCTCCCGGAGAAAGAGAGAGAGAGAATCTCAAAGAGAAGCCACAGTCTTGGAAGTAACAAGCCATTGCTTCTGCCTTATTCTACTCATCCCGCAGAGCGACCCTGGTGCAGTGTGTGTGAGAGGGGATATCCAAAGGTGTGAATACCAGGAGGCAGGGATCACTGGGACCAGCTTGGAGGCCCACCGCCAACAGTCTGGTTCCGCTCAGGATGAGCCCTAAGTTCCAGTCTCATCTCTGTCCCCACCTATGTGCTTTGGTCTTTTCAAGGAGCCTAAGGTTCCCATCTGTAAAGTGAGGCTGACCGCATTACTCCCTTCCTTGGGTTGCTGTGAGGATTCAGTGAAATCAAGCCCGTTAGCACAGGGTTGGGCCCATAGCGATTGCTCCGTAGATGGGGGAGGGGGTGATCATCCACTTGCTGCAGATGTGGAGTCTGAGTTCCTCGGTGGCCAGCATGTGACCTTGGCTGTAACTTCCGGGATGTCTCAGTCCCAGGTCAGAGTTCTGGGCACTGGGACTTGCTCGGAAGCTGTGGGCACAGCTTCTTGGCACACGGAGCTGGGACAGATCAGGCTCCGAGTGTTTGTTGAGGCCATGGCGAGAGAAGCAGGTGCTGGGGTTCTAGAGAAGCGCAGATAATCGAGAATGTGCTGGTCTGGGCTGAATGGGCCAGGCTGGGCCAGGGCTGGGTGGGGCACCTGAGGAGGCCGAAGGCGGGCTGGGCTGTGGCTGGAGCAGGCCTAGGTAGGAGGGTCTGGCCTGGGGGATTGTGCTGCCTCAGAGTTGAGATCCTCTCAGGCTTGGGGTGCTCTTAGCCTTCCTTCACTTGCTTCATCATCCATTCCTCCAATACAGTGTCACCAGGTGCTTTTGTGCCAGGCCTTGTGCTGGGGACACAGGGCAGGTGAGACACAGCATCAGCCTTTGTGTTGCTCATGAGGCCAGGCAGAGAGACCAGAGGACAGGCAATTAGCACACACAGAGCACCAAGTGGCTGGAAGGTTGCATCCTCAGGGGCTGTGGGTGCCCAGAGAAGATTAATCCAGTGCTGGGGACCAGGAAGGCTTCTTGGAGGAGGTGACATCTAAACTGAAACCAGAAGCACCCAGAAAGATGATGAGCTGGGGAACAGTGTTCCAGGCAAAGGGAACAGCATGTGCAGCCCTCCCCATGGCAAGGGAAGTGAGGCAGAGTGGGAGGGTGGGGAGGGGGCAGCAGGATAGCTGCCACCTGGTACCAGTCACTCCTGGTCTGGGGAGATACAGAGGAGTTTGGGCTGTGCCCTAAGGGGGTGGCGAGAGGTTTCCAGAGGAGGGCAGTATGTTCAGATGTTTCCACTGTGGCTGGGCCACCAGTGGCCTCTGGCCTTAACTTTAGGTCAGGGAAGGGATGGACAATGGCCCGGCACCTGTGGGTCTGGGGGGAGCTGGTCTGGCAGCGGTGGTGGGAAATGGAATTTCCTACCCATCTGGGTGGCAGCTGTGGTCCAGCCTTCCTGGCCAGGCTGGCAGAGGTCAGGAACGGGTGTGCACTGTGCCTGCTTCCTGCTGTTGAGCTGGAGGTGGCTTCCTGGTAGCGTCTGGGGCGTAGGAAGGGAGGCAACCTCCTCTGTGCCAGGAGGGCCTGCACTTGCAGACCAGCCTGTGAGGCGCTGGTGCGTCATCTTCCAGGCCTGGCATGTGCCAGTCAGGAGTCCTGGCTCCATGCCCAGACCCGCTGATACTTGCCTGCGTTATTTACCTCTTAGAGTCTCTCTTTCCGCATCTGTGAAAGGGGAGGGTGGTGGCGGAGCTGTGCTCATAGGGCCCCCGAGAGGCTTCCTGAGAATGTGCTTCACTCAGGGCTTACGTGGAATAAATAATCAATGCACGTGGGCATCCTTCCCCAAAACCTGTGTCCAGGCTGGCTGAGCTGACCAGGGCCCAGTGAAGCGGAGTGACTGGTCACATGGCTGGTGGCCTGACTGTGTGTGGCACCCCCTCCTGAGTTCAGTGCCCTGAGCTGTGGTCTGTGCTTTACTTGATTCCTCTCTAAATGGATGTGTCCTCTTTTTTTTTTCTTTTGAGAGGGAGTCTCGGTCTCTTGCCCAAGCTGGAGTGCAATGGCACGATCTTGGGTCACTGCAACATCTGCCTCCTGGGTTCAAGTGATTCTCCTGCCTCAGCTTCCCAAGTAGCAGGGATTACAGGTACACACCACCATTCCTGGCTAATTTTTGTATTTTTTGTAGAGATGGGGTTTCACCATGTTGACCAGGCTGGTCTTGAACTCCTGACCTCAAGTGATCCGCCCATCTTGGCCTCCCAAAGTGCTGGGATTACAGGTGTGAGCCACCACGCCTGGCCTAAATGGATATGCCTCCTCTTTCTGTTCTGTCATTTCAGTCTCTGCTTCTTAGTCCCAACCTGGAAGCTCCTGGTTGCCAGGGGCCGACTGGGGAACAAGGAGATGTGCTGTTTTAGATACTAAAGATCCTCTGGCCGGCCTTGAGGGGGGAGTTGGGAAGAAATGGGCCAGGCTCTGTGATGAGGGGACAATGGCAAGGCGAATTCTCCATTGGGCACAGTGGGCATAGGCAGAAGGCCCCGCACTTATAGGGGTCCAGGACACTTTTCTAATTTTGATTTCTTTTAAAATCAGAAGAAAAAAAATGACCAATAGTGAATAAAGACAAATCCAGCCTGCATCGTGCATGTCTTTGTGCCAGTGCAGTAATGAAGTATGATTTTCCATGTTTTCTTATGGAGGCTGGAGCTGGGCTCTGCAGTCGGGCTGGGTGCAGCTGGGGAAGGTAGGCTGTTGGGGTGTTCTGCTCAGGGCAGGTGGGGCCCGGTGGCAAAGCTGTACCCCTGGGGGCCAGGGCTCTGCAGGAACCGTGACCTTGTCTAGGGCGAGCCCAAGCAAAGGCTTTCTGGGATTCTGGGATCGTGAGCTTTGGCGGCTGCCAGGCCCCGATGAGAAAGGGTGGTGTCTGAGGCTGGGTCCAAGACCGTCTTCCTCCTCACAGTAATTTTCCAAATTGTGTTTTTATCTCCCTGGAACTTCCCTAATCCCCAAGGCCAGGAGGGAAATTTGATGTCATGATTTGGATGGATGAAGGATATTTCTGGGGACAGATGGAAAGAACAAAGAGGCAGACGCTTTTCCATGGTGCCAGACTCAAAGGGTTAACAAAACAAAGCAAAACAAAAGGCTAGGGATCTCCCTGCTGCAGGGGCCTGCCTGGGGACAAGGACCTGAGGGCAGCGCCCAGAGTCTGCAGAGGGAGAGATCTGCACCCACTTGGCTTGGAGCTGTCCCTGGCCTGCTGACGGAGAGACAGCATCTTGAGTTTCTGTTTTGGGAAATAACTTGATTCTTTTTTTCTGCTTCTGATTATAAAAGTCAAATGATGCTTAGGAAAAAAAGAAGATTTGGAAGGAACACTGCAAGCTATTAACAGTGGTTACCTTAGGGAAGGGTGTGGGATCTAGGGTGTGTGGAACAAGAATTAGGAGGATTTCCACGCTTTGTGTATGTATTAGAATGTCTTATAACTCCTGGTGACCAGGACAGCCCTTGTTTAGCCGATTGTCCTGGGGTCACTATTAATGCAGCCCCTTTTCATTCCCGAGTGGCCCAGTTCAGACCCTAATGTTAGGGTCATGTTATTTATAATGAGCAAGTTTTAGTTCTGTGGTGGTGTTTGACATGCTCTTTATAAAAAAGTTCAGCAACAGGGCAAGCTCTAGAGAAGAGGGTGAAGAAGACCTATAATCCCCCACGACGCTGGCTGTTTGGGGTGGTGGCCACAGAAGGGACTGTGGAAATGGCAGCTGAGTCCAGCCAGGCCCCCCTGGCCATACTGTCCTCTGCAGAAGTGGGCCTGGCTCAGGCCAGGGGATTAAGCGTCAGAGGGAAGCTCAGGATCCCCCAAGAGGAAACCCCTGTGGCCCAGGAGGAGGGAGGCATAAGAGAGGGGATGCAGGCGTTGAAGTGAAGGCTCACCCTCAGCTCCTGTGTGAGTGGGTCACAATCAGACTCAGAAACACATCTTGCAGCCCATTGGAGGGGTTTTCTGAGAAGTGTCACAGCCAGAAGTGGGCATGTTGCTTCCCTGCACTCTGGGGTCAAGCTAGGCCCCTGAGACCCCTCGTACCATCCCATGAGTCCCTCCCTTTGCCCATCCCAAGAGCTCTCCAGGGGTGGATACCATTCAGCTCAGGTTGACCCTGGAGCCCTGGACAGGAGTCGGTCCCTAGGTTCGCAAGGGCAATGGTACGGGGGTGGGGGAGAGGGGAGGCAGTCCTCTAGGAGAGGCCGCTGAGCGGGTCCAGCCTCCAGGCAGGGTTGATGGGTCTCCTCCCTGCAGATGCGCCCCGGCTGACGGAGCTGCCCCGGAACGTCACTGTGGAGCTGGGGAGTAGTGCCCTCCTGGCATGCCGGGCCACAGGCCGCCCGCCCCCGACGGTCACCTGGCATCGTGGAGATGGCCAGTCCCTGGGGTCCAGGCTGGGGCCCAGGCAGGGCAGCAGAACTCGGCAGCTGGACTCGGGAATGCTGTTCTTTGAAAGTAAGAGATTGAGGCTGGGGCAGGGTGGGCAGGGAGACAGGATGGCTTCCGACACCCTAAACCCCCAGGCTGGGTGGCTGGATGGCCAGGTGGCTGGGAGCAGGACCCTGACCCCCAGCGCTGACTGTGGAGCAGGCTGATGCGGGGTCACACTTTGGCTGAGTGGCTCTGGCCAAGTCATTCCACTCTTCTGGTCCTGGTCATAATCATGACTGAAACCTATTACCTGCCTGGCTGATTAAAGCCAATTTATGGGGCTGCTGTGTGGATCATCTGCACTGAGTGCTTAGCACAGTTCTTGCCACATGCTAACTGTCACACACGTGTAAGCTACGATGATTACCGTAATTACCACTGTGCTACCCACCGCCCACTTTACCACACGCCAGGCCCGAGGTGGGTACGTTGTCGACTGGTCCCCATCACACTGCAAGGTATGGGCCAATTACCCTCATTCCATAGATGAGCAGACTGAGGCTTTCTCACCCTTCCAGAGTCCAGCTGTGTCCCTCACCCCTTCCCTCTCTGCCATCCCAGACTTCCCGCCTGAAGCTCGTAAGCCCAGGCCATGCCGAGGGCTCTCTGTGCACTGGGAAGCTGGACCTGTGGGGGCTGTGGCTGTGGTGTGCCCTGGCAGTCACACTCGTCTCTCTCATGCCCCTCAGGTGTGGCCCCAGAAGACCAGGCCCTGTATGTCTGTGAAGCTCGAAATGTCTTTGGGAAGGTCCAGGCGGAGGCCCGGCTCTTCGTCACTGGTCACGGTTCGCTGGTGGATCTGAGAGCCGTGGGAGGTGGGAGGTGGGAGGTGGGAGGTAGGCACTCCCCAGGGGCACAGCAAGGCCATGGGCACCTCCAGGGAGCCTCTCCTGGCCCATTTGTTGGAACAAATGAGTCCATAGCCAAACTCCCCAAGAACAGCACCTGTCCCCCTGTGTCCTGGGCAGTGTTCTGAGGATTCTGTGACTCTTCAGTGTCCCCAATTCTGATGCATCTCCCAGTTCCCTGGGGAGGGAGAAGGGAGCAAGCGCCTCTGTCCCCCAGACGACCACCCAGGGCACTTGTGGCTGACACCGGCTCCTCTCCCCACAGTCCCCCCACAGATCGCTGGCAGCGCCCCCACCGTCCGTGTCCTGGAGGGGCAGCCGGTGTCCCTGCCCTGCATCATCCTGGCTGGGCGGCCCCTCCCAGAAAGGCATTGGCTCAAGGCCGGCCAGCCTGTGAGTGCTGGGCTCCTCTGGGTGCAGTGGGCGGTGGCACCTGGGGAAGGAGGGGACTGTCACAGCCACGCCTCGGTCTCTGCTTGGCTGCTCCCCCTCCTGGAAGTGTCCTCTTCCTTCTTTTGGCGGCATTTTGGAACCTTCTCTGATAATGCGCTGATGCCGCTTGTTGCCCTCTGGAGTCCTGCTGGCTGTCACATGGGTCACAGCTGCTGGGTCCCTGGGAGCTCTGCGGGGGAATCCTGTGCACCAGGAGAGCTGTGGACCAGGGATCAGGGATTCTGTGGAGGCCCAGTCTCAATGCAGTGGTCTCCCCAGTTCTTATGGTTCCAGAGCAGGGAGTGCCCTGTGCAGTTTAATGTCTGCCCCAGATGCCAGCGCACGGCTGAACGCACGGGGGTTGCCTAATCCATCAGTTCATGTCCATGTGATTTTCTTGGTGTTCCTCTGTTTGGCCTCTCCTATCAACTCTTTCATTACCTCTTCCCTTTCCTTAATTCTTCTGCCTGGTCTCAGACACACTAAGTCCCTGTGCCCTGCAGGCTGCAAAGAGGTGCCTTCCCAGCTCTGCATTCCCGGGAGAGACTCTCATGGGCCCAGCTTGGGTCAGGCTCACCCTGGTCCAGGTGGCCAAGGGAGAGGTGGGATCAGGGTGTGCAGGGGTCAGACCTACCCACCCTGCAGGGTCTGTTGGGGGCTTCATTGGGCACCTAGGCTGGGGAGTCACAGAGCTCCTCAGCCTTCTCTGAGCCCCCAGCCTCTCAGTCCTGCCTGCTCCCTGCCGGCCTGGTGGGCGGCATAGTTTCCTGAGGGTTCTCTCTTAGCTGCCTCTGAATGAGGCCCGAGGCTAAGCTGGCTCTTCCTCACCCCCACCAGCTCCCAGCTGGCAGCCGGCATTCTGTCCGAGCAGATGGCAGCCTGCACCTTGGTCGGGCATTGCAGGAGCACGCGGGGAGGTACAGCTGTGTGGCCACCAACACCGCTGGCTCTCAGCGTCGGGACATCGAGCTGGTGGTCCAGGGTGAGTCCTGGGACCCCCGAGGTGGGGGTCGTGGGGCAGGGAACATGATGGGGTCGGGAATGTGCAGAGGTAACTTGATCTCGAATGCCTTTGCTTTACACACTGCACAAGTGATACACACTCTCTGTGGGAAAATTAGGGATTTTACAAGTTAAAAAATACTCTCAGGCTGGGCGTGGTGGCTCATGCCTATAATCTCAGCACTTTGGGAGGTCAAGGCGGGCAGATCACCTGAGGTCGGGAGTTCAAGACCAGCCTGGCCAACATGGTGAAACCCCATCTTTAAAAAAAAAAAAAAAAAAACTCTCATAATACCAGTAGCTAAGAATAACCAGATTTTACATTTTGACATGTATCTTTTCATACTGTCTCCACACACACTCTCTATATCATACACACCTATATGTAGTATATACATCCACTATGTATACATGGAATATATATTCTTATGCATGATACATACAGCGTCTTTGTATGTTTTTTATATAAATTATACAGAAGTTATCTATCATCTGTCTCATCTATCCATCTAATCTATCTACCTGTTTACAAACCTATTTAAAAACCAGATCGAGTCACGTGCTGTCATTGTCTTGCCACCTACGTGTCCCCTCGTCAGTATGTTATGGTTGTTCTGTTTTCTGTCAATTAAGATTCAGAGGCATCAATTTAATAAGGGGACAATGGTGTCCCCTGATTATCTAATTATCTGATCATCTGTACCCTCCTGAGTCCCCCGACCCTGGGCACAAACAGCCTCGTGCATACACATTGCAGGTGACCTCGTACCTAAGTGACCAAGTCTTTCCTTAGGATAAATCCATTAATGTGGATTCAGTTTTGCATCACAGAGATTGTACATTTTTGGAATTTTAGTGTTTCGCCCAACTGCTCTCCTGCCCACAGCGCTGGGTTCTTTTGTTCACCCAACCGGGGAACCACTGTGCTTTTTAATGTAAGACAAGAAGTTTAAAACTAAATGTGGTTATATTTTGTGATTTACCGAGTATGTTTATATCTTCTTTATTCTCATTTGTTTCATGAACCCCCCAAGGGCTTAGTGGGAAGAATGCTCATTCCCCATCTTATAGTGGGGAGCCAAAGTTCAGAAGGGCTGGGCTGAGCACTCGGGTGTAATTCCGGGTGCCACCTCCTCGTCATTCCGGATCCAAACCCATTCAGGGTTGAGCGTGTGCCACACGCCAGGCATCTGCTGGTTTCTATATGTGATTCCACTCAGTGTCAGCCCCTGACTTCCCACTGTGCCCCACACAGCCACTTCTGCGGGGTTGACATGAGCAGGCCCAGTCTCTCCTGGCTCAGTTTATTTCCATTCAACAAGTATGTGTGGACCTCTGCTGGCTTTGGCCACCTGGGAGGCCAGAACGCCATTTTCCTCCTAAAGGAGCTCCCAGTGCTGGCATCAGAGCCCCTGGCTTCCAGTCTCCCCTCCTGGTTTCTCCATGCCTAGTTGCCCCTCCCTCGATCCCCTTAGGGTCCCCCATTTTCAAGCCTGGGAATCTGAGTGGTGCCCAGGGTGGATGTGACACCTGTTTTGAAGCTCACTGTGTTCCAAAAGCTCTGCTTGTCTGTCCGTTCCAGAAGGGATGACCAGGGAATTGGGGTTAAATTCACTTTTGTGCTGAGCAGGGAATATGAGCACCAAAAGATTAAGTGATTTATCTGGACCCCCAGAGTAGTGAGTCAGCGCAGCTGGTTCCCAAGCACGTGCTGCCTTCTGTATGGGGAAGGCAAACTGACAATGGCAGGCAGTGGTGGCTGCAGATATCGTGCCATTTTTATTCGCCAGTCGAAAGCTTTTATTTTAAAATTTTATTTATTTATTTTTGAGACCGAGTTACACTGTCACCAAGCCTGGAGTGCAGTGGTGCAATCTTGACTCACTGCAACCTCCACCTCCTGGAGCGATTCTCCTGCCTCAGCTCCCTGAGTAGCTGGGATTACAGGCATGTGCCACCACGCCCAGCTAATTCTTATATTTTTAGTAGAGACGAGTTTCACCATGTTGGCCAGGATGGCCTCAAACTCCTGACCTCAGGTGATCTGCCTGCCTCAGCCTTCCAAAGTGCTGAGATTACAGGGTGTGAGCTATCACGCCCGGCCTGATAGCTTTTAAAATTGTCAAATATACGTAAAATAAAATGTATTGTTTTGATGATGTTTAGGTGTGCAATGGTGTTACTACATTCACACTGTTGTGTGGCTATCCCCAGCATCCATCTCCAGAACTTTCTCACCATCCTGAACTGAAACTCCGTCCCCATTAGACATTAACTCCCCATTCCCCTCTCTCCTCAGCCCCCGGGAGCCGCCCTTCTACCTCTGATCTCTATGACCTGGCCCATTCTAGGGACTTCATATCAGTGGAATCGTACAGTATTTGTCCTTCTACGTCTGGCTGATTTCACTTAGCAGGTTTTTAAGGTTCAGCCATGGTGTAGCGTGTGTCAGAATTTTACTCCTTTTAAAAAAAAATAGACTGGACTTTTAAGAGCAGTTTAAGTTTATAGAAAAATTGAGCAGAAGGTACAAAGATTTCCCACATACCCCGGCCCCACTGTGCATAGCCTTCCTCACTGTCAACTACCCGACAGTGGCCCCGTTGTTACCATTGAAGACACGGCGTCATCACTCCAAACCCCAGAATTTACACTGGGGTTCCCTCTTGGTGTTTTTTATTTTTATTTTTATTATTTTGAAACAGTCTTGCTCTGTGGCCCACACTGGAGTCCAGTGGCGCGATCTCAGCTCACTGCAACTTCCACCTCCTGGGTTCAAGCAATTCTCTTTCCTCAGCCTCCCGAGTAGCTGGGACTACAGGTGCCCACCACCAGGCCCAGCTAATTTTTATATTTTTAATAGAGATGGAGTTTCACCATGTCAGCCAGGCTGGTCTCAAACTCCTGACCTCAGGTGATCCACCCATCTCGGCCTCCCAAAGTGCTGGGATTACAGGCATGAGCCACCACACCCGGCCCTTGGTGTTGTTTATTTTGTGGATTTGGATAAATGCTTAGTGACATGGATCTGCCACTGCAGTATCACCCAGAGAAGGTTCACTGCCCTAACAGTCCTCAGGGCTCTGCCTCTTCATTCCTCCCTCCCCCAACCCTGGCAACCGCTGATCTTATTGTTGTCTCCATAGTTTTGTCTTTTCTTTCTTCTTTTTTTTTTTTGGAGACAGTCTCACTCTGCCTCCCAGGCTGGAGTGCAGTGGTGCGATCTTGGCTCACTGCGACCTCTGCCTTCCAGGTTCAAGCAATTCTCATGCTTCAGTCTCCTGAGTAGTTGGAATTACAGGTGCCTGCCACCACACCTGGCTAATTTTTGTATTTTTAGTAGAGACAGAGTTTCACCATGTTGGCCAGGCTGGTCTTGAACTCCTGACCTCAAGTGATCCTCCTGCCTTAGCTTCCCAAAGTGCTGGATTACAGGCGTGAGGCACTACCTCTGGCTGCTTTGCCTTTTCCAGAATGTCATACCGTTGGAGTTAATTTCCTTTCTTTTTAAGGCTGAATAGTCTTCCCTTGTGCACACACACCACATGTTGCGTGTCCATGCATTGCTGATGGACATTTGGGTTGCTTTGCCTTTTGGCCGCTGTGAATGAGGCTGCTGTGAACCTTGGCTTTGACACTAGTTTGTTCATAACAGTGCCACCTAGAATCCATCCCACTGCCACCCACCACATCACCAATGAAGGGGTTCCTGCCTCTCTCCCCTGCGTTGCTTCAGGAGTTCCTGCCCCCACCATCACCTGGACCAAGGTAGGCCGTGCTTGTTACTGAGAGGGTAACCAGAGAGGTGGGCCCAGTGTGTCACCGGGTGGAGCTGTGGGCTCTGCTGACGTCACCTGTGCCTCTGCCCTAGGAAACCAATGCCCTGACCTCAGGAGGTCCCCTCTACAATGTGAGTAAGGAGGGCACCCTGCTCATTGCCCAGCCGTCCGCCCAGGATGCAGGGGCCTACGTCTGCACGGCCACCAACACCGTGGGCTTCTCCAGTCAGGAGATGCGGCTTTCTGTCAACAGTGAGTGATGGCAGCCCTGCCTGGGAGAGGGGCTCAGTGGATTTGGAGACAGAGTCCCAGCTCAGCCCTGTGGAGCCTGACAGGGAAGCTGTCACATCAGCAAGTCCTGCAGTGTCCTGTGGCTCTGCACGGGACCCACGCCCCCAGCAGCCCCCTCACCCGCCTCTCTCTGCCCCAGACCCTCTGGCCTCCTTTCTGTTTCTGGAACGGTCCATCCTGCCTGTGCACATGCAGTTCCTTCTGCTTGGAATGACGTTCCCTCACCTCTGGGCCCAGCTGACTGCTCCCATCTGTTAGCTCTCAGCTCTCCCTGATCCCCTAGGCTGGTCAAGTCACCTTGCTGTAAACCGTGGAGCGTCCCCTTCCTGGCACCCATCACAGCTGTGGTGCAATACTTTATCCCATAGGGAGCTTTTTGGTACCAGTGTTGCCCAAGGACCCTGAAGGCTGGGAGGATGGGGCAGGGCTGGCACTCGTCTGGGAGGAGTGAGCACATGTACAAGCCAGGTTTTTTCTCTCATAGACCCTCACAGTCAGTATGTTTATATTACAAATATTTCTTAATGGGGGAGCATTTCCTCTCTGAACTCCAAACGTATGGGGAAACACGGGAGGGCTAGGTGGGTTTTGATGTCCCCAGCTGGCTGGCTTGTTTCATTGTTGCTGCTCTTGTAGCAAGTGCCTTCCTTGTATGAGCTAGAAAGACGGAGGAGGGCAGGGAGGAGGAGGGAAGGGTACCGCAGTCTCTGACGTCAAGGGTTCTTCAGCTTAATGTGAGAAAGAGGTGACATGCCCAGATTGCCATAAATCCCTGACCGGGGAGGTCCCTCAGGACTGGGAGGTCCGGAGGGAGGGTCTGTGCATTCTTTGGTGGCTGATATCGTAGGAATAAATGAACGAGCAAGAGGAGAAGGTAGAGAGCAGGGAGGAGTTCAGAGTCCGCCAGAATGTCCCTGGGGAAGGGACGGCAGGTTGAAGAGAAGCCAGGGGAGACACAGACCTGGGGCAGGAGGGACCGGGTCAGGGTCCTCAGAGCAAGATGGTGGCAGGGAGGTGGGTGGGGAGAACTGAGCGAAAACCCTGGGACCTGGGTCTCACCGGCAACCTGCACTCTCCCTTTTCTGACAGCCACACCCACCTCTGGACCTCCTGAGCGTCAAGGTCGCAGCACCGGCTCTGCTTCCCGGTAGAGCCGCCACGTGGCCCAGGGCACCCATGGACCCCTTTCCCCTCTGCCCGCTGACAGGCCCTGCTTCCTCTCCCCACAGCCAAGCCCAGGCTTCGTATGAATGGGTCACATGATGCAGATGTGCCTCTGAGAGTCATGGCGAAAGCTGGCGAAGAGGTGACCCTGGACTGCGAGGCCCAGGGCTCCCCACCCGCCCTGGTCACCTGGATGAAGGACTCCCACCCTCTGCCACCCACCACCAACAGGTAACCCCAGGCCATGGCCTCAAGTCAGGAAGGGACAGAGCTTAGGGCTGGAGGGAAACCTGCCTCAAGGTGACCAGTGACCCGGCAGGGGTCTTGGACCCTGCAGACTCTCCCATAGGATGCTCCTGGGCTTCCGCACACGGGGCTGCTATCCATGGGCCCCCAGAAGCCTGGAAGGGGCCTCTAGAGGGAGCCTGGAAGCCCAGGGTGAGACTTCCTGTCTGAAATCATGCCCACCGGACACCTTGTGCGCCAGCCGCTGGGCGTTGCCTGCGGGATCCCGTTTAATCTGCACGGCCACCCTTGATATCTGATAGGACACTGACGCTCAGCCAGGGACTGAGCTGCTCGCCATCACCCGGCTAGGCAAGAGCAAAACCAGGGCTGGGACCACATCCCCGCCATGACACACTCCACCCCCAGGCCTGCTCTGCAGGACCAGGTGTCTGGCGGCTGAGCTGTCTGACTCAGCTGCTCCTGGTCCGATCCTGGGAGTGGGTGGACAGGGAGGAGGCTGGCTTGGGTGTCCATCAAAGCTACGCTGTACCCCCCAGGAGGGGATGCGGGGGATGCTAGGGCCCTTGCCCCTGGCTGGGGGGTTCTGTGGCTCAGGCCGGTGACATCAGCCCTGGCAGGGTCTTTGAGATGTTCCAGAACCAGAAGGTCTCAGAGCAGCCTGCTCTGTAACGCATCCCCCCAATCCACATGTCAGTGTCTCTCAGAACATGTGTGGTGAGTCCTGCCAATCCTTGCAGTGGGGCACCCCTGAAGGTGGCGGGGTCCCAGGGAGCCGGCCCTAGGCAGCATCTCCAGGGCCCCCCATGCCCTTTTGGCATCACTGCAGCTCTATGTTGTGGGGTAGGGGTGTGGTGGGGGCTTCGGGAGCCCGCAGCTCCCCCAGAAAGCCTGGTCCTCGCTCCTTGGCTGGGTGGTGGCCCTCGGCCGGAGGATGCATGTTGATTTATGGCTTGTTACTGAAACGGAACCGCATTCTCATTTGTTCACCCCTCCTCGCTGTGGTGCGTTAATGGGTCAGCCGGGAGCTGTAAATTTGCGAAAGCCGCTTTTGCAATCCCAGGGTGTTGTGTGTTCCCTCTCCCTTGCCCTCTTCACTTCGTGCTGGCTGACACTGTTTTCTCCCCAAATTTGGGAAATTTGGGAGTTTATCTAAAAGAGGAGGAAAATATGCTGGGGGCGGGGTGGGGTTAAGTACTCAGGCCCTGGAGCTCCCCAGAGCCAGTGCTGATGATCTTTTTAATTTTATTTCATTTTTTTTATAAAGACGGGGTTTCACCATGTTGGTCAGGCTGGTCTTGAACTACCGACTTCAGGTGATCCTCCCGCCTTAGCCTCCAAAGTGCTTGGATTACAGGCGTGAGCCACCACGCCCGACCCAGCACTGATGATCGATCTGCCTGCTGTCTTCTTAGTTGTGTGACCCCGGGTGGCCACTGGCTTCTCTTAGCCTGTCCCTCCGTCTGCAAGGTGGATGTTATTTAAATAGCGCCCTTGTGGGTTAATGTCGGATGTGCAGTGCTTAGGAAGTCAGATGTGCTGAAAAACTGCTCCCTTTCATGTTATTTCCCTGCTGTTGCTGTCCGCAAACTGAGACATCATCTCCAGCTTTTACAAATTTATCCTGTCCTACCACACCTGTTACCTCAATTCTCACCCACTTTTTAAATGTAAA